AAAAAAAAAAAGAAAAAATCCTTTTACTGCAATTATTTCTAAGATTTCTGGCAGATAAGAAAAGCCATCATTTTCCATGAATATAACTTGGTTCTAACTATTTCAATTTCATATTGTCTCCTATTTATTATTTGAAGTTGGGAGTTCCGATTGCATTTACCCAAAACTTTCATCCATTGACCCTAAAATCAAAATCAATTGTTGGTCTGGTATCCGGTAACCTTAATTAAAAGAAATGAAATTCATACCCTACCAATGCTCACATTTACGCGATCATTTTTTCTCGAAAAAGTGCTAACAAAACAGGATACAGCCTCCACAGACTGCTTTTCACTCAAAATTGAGAAAGACGACCCAGGTTTTTGCATTGGAATAGGTCCGGCGAATTCCGTTTGAAATTAATCCATGCATAAAAAAATAATGAGTTTCAATTCTTTCGCAAAAGTAAATGAAGGCTATTGATTGCTTGGGTGTTGCTAAACCGTAGATCAGCTGACCTTGGATCCGGAACCTCCGGAACCTGCGGAACCTGCAGAACCATTACTTTTGTGGAAAAAAAGTAATTAAATAAATAACATTGAAAAAACCTTAACACTGTTCGAAATTTCATTTTCGGGTATAAATAAGGTTGCATTGATGGAGATGTGTTGAAATAATTGACTTAATTGTGGTGACATTTACCCTACAAGGGTATGTACTATCGTAATTGTAAGATCTTAGCGTGCGGAATGCTGTCAATTGTTAATTAGGGTGTCTCTAGAGTGTTGTTGCTGTTTCGCGTCGTCTAAATTAGTGTTTTTTCCACCGGCTAGTCAGCTTCTTTTGTTTTCCATATCGCATGCTTCCTTCATTATTGTTTCATTCGTAATTCTTGGCGTCAGTTTCACTTTCGTTTCGCATGCATTGATTTTCAGTTTTTCCTGCGTATGTCAGTAAACTGACCTGGCGAGTCAAATTGTATTATGACGCAATATAAGGAAGCTATTACCTTCTAAGACGACCAGGAAGAGATTTTAACGATTAGAGGACCCAAAGCAATGATTCATGGCCTCAAAAAATTAATAGGTCGTAACCATGCTTCGTGAGTGTCTGCATGCATGCAAACGGTTAATATCCTATCAGTTAACCCTTTAACTCCCGTGAGTGACAGAGATAGAATCTCTTCTTACTATATCTTAACAATATCATGCAGACAAGTGATGAGAATAAAGACAAATATCAATTATGGGATTACTAATTGCTCCGATACCAAATTTTCCAGACTAACATAATGAGAATCATTTGACTGACAGTAATGAGAATTACTAATGAGATCTTGGGATTTCAAGGGTTAACAAACCAATTCATATGCACGGGCCGGTCATTTTGGCAATCAGTAACAAATATATCTCAGCATAATCAAACGTATAGGAAAGACCAGCATGAAAATTAAAGGAGACCTACGATCTAAGGGGTTTCCTAAAATCGAAGAGCACAAATATTACCAGTGAAGATGTCCTTCATGTCTCTGTTTTCTACCACTCAACACATGTAAATACGCGTCTTTTTTTTTTTAATATATGTTACGAGTGTCGATGTGGAGCAGGGTTGTTCCTAGACAAAACTCAGGATCGTCGGTATCAGCAACAAACTTTTTATTTCCGCGTAGTTGACTTCTTGTTTTTATAGCACTAAGCTTCTTCACAATTCTCTCTCTGTGTTTTATGAAACTGTCACTCTTATATACATAAAGTATATGGATCTAGAAACTTCTCTAAAGAACTAAATTTAGTAGATTAACACGGTTTCTAAATTTGAATAATTACGTAAGAAATAGAACGTTCCAGAATGTTCTTTTTACCAGAAGGTCACGTCTAGATGACTTCGGGTTCTAGAATGTTCTATTAGAATGTTCTGGGACTTTACTTAGACAATTTTTCGTAACAATATATCATGGCGGCGGATCTTAATTGGCGTGACTGATATGTTTCATTGCCTCTCTCATGCTTGATTTACCGTTGCTCTATTATTTCAATAAAGAGTTAAGATTAAAAACTGTTTTAAAACACAATTATTTATCATACATCAGAGAACTTTAAAACGTCTATTTGGAGTTAAGGATGAAAGATTAGAATTTGCAAGACATTACATAATCTCTTGGAGTCTTTCAAAACCAATTAATTACTATTATTTTAATATTCTGCATCAAAAAGTGTGTATGGATCTATGATATTGAATCCGTTTTGAGATTTGTCAGAGTAATATAATCCCCTCAAATCATTATAAGTTTTATTTGAAATTCGACTATAAACGCCGCCATTTTGGATCTTCTTTATTAACCACGCCTCTTACCCATAACAAAACAAAATCTCGCTCCTTTTTTGTAACATCACTTGGCGATCTATCTAAGCAACTGCTAGGAGTAGAGCAACATGAAAGGATATTTTTCTCGCATTGTAGCTTTGTTTTGGTTCTTATTTTCTTTTGAATAATGGGGGCATGGGTCTCGACTTCTTTAACATTTATGGGGAGAATTTCGAATGGTTAAATCTCCTTAACGTTTGATTGAGCAGTGTTGCCTATAGATAAATTAGATCCCAGTCACTCTTGAGGATTTAAAAGTTAAAAAAAATATATTTTGGAAAATGTACAGACGGATTTAGTGAACGCTCGGAGGAGGTAGCCTGATGATAAATGCTATCTGCTCTTTTGATGTTGTGTTATGACTCAGCTCCTTTTTAGTTTCTTCAGGGTCTATTTGCCGCTTCCGCTTGCCACCGTACTGCGCATACACCTCTACCTGACTACGACCGGAAGAGCTGCTGTGAAATATGTTGAATCTCCATTTCAGCACTTTGTGATGGAAAGCTGCACGAACTTCACTATTTCTCAGCACGTGCAAGAGAAATATGAGCATACCCTACAAAAGTAAAAGGAATCTTGTGTTTGACAAGGTTCCTTTATTGAACTATAATTCCCAGTATAAACTCAATTTTATCAAAATAAACAAAATAAACAGACTGTTTTCTTAACCGAAGGCCTCGTGATCCAAATCGATAAATGAAGTGTGGGATTAAAATGGTTTTCCCAGAGCCCTTTCATACTCAGACCCAGACCCATTTGACCAAAGCGGCCAACTTACAGACTTGCGTATACGTAATTGGTACAGACCTGTGAAGAGTTAAGAATGGTGAAAACATACTGGAATACCAATCCTGCGTCTGTTACAGCCAAGAGACCAAATACCCACGTTAAACCCAGCAGAGGACTTAAAATAAGAAATGACTTCAGAGTTTTTCTAAAAGGGAATAAAACGCAAAACTGCTTTCACGTTAAAATTTTCTTCTGGAGATATACCATGCTACACACATTTCGCATGGAGAATTATTTAACTGGAATAAAGAGAAATCGTTCGAACTATCTATTTAATCATGAGTGAATAATGGAAAAGATTCTCTTTTGCGAATAATCCATGAAGGTCCAAGGATAAAAGACAAAACGATTTCATGTAAAACTACTTCATCTAAAACTTCATGAAAAAAAAAACAACAACAACAAACAGATCCCCTGGCTGATTAATCTTTGATTTAGGTAAATTTGTTAATAAGTTGATAATTCTGCTAGAAAGTTAGTATTTCATTTATGTTGGTATAAGAGATGGCATATTTTGAGGAAAGAGGATCATTGGGTGGCATTTTGCCTCTGAAACTCTAAAGAATTTAAGCAGTTTTTGTTGTCCTCTACCTTAGTTACCATGCCACCGCAGATGGGTCTTCCTAACAAAAGCATACCTGAAGGTCTTCATTTTAGAAGGATTAGGCTCATGAAGATTTCTGATTTCTCGCAACACCGCCATGAGTATTACAAAGTTGATCTTAACAAATGAGAAAAGTAAAATTAAGGCTTTAACCACTTGTCTAGAAGGCATTCATAGTAGATGTGTCACCAAGTCAGTCAGCCAGCCAGTTAGTCAGTCAGTCAGAATATGATTAACGCATTCATGAATTCTTTCATTTATTTATTCTTCTTTCATTTATTCATTTTTTCATTTATTCATTTACTGTTCATTCTTCGTTTTTGTCATTTCTGGCTATCAGCTAAGATAACAGTGGAAGCAAAGACGGTGGACTTACAATTGTCACAAATAACACAGGGACAATAAAGGCCCAGCTCAAACGCTTCTGGAAGGACAACCAGCAGCTGAAAGTTAATTCAGATGACAGAACTGTCTAAAAACGCAGCTTATGTGACAGTATCTAATGGAAATAAAAAGTTATAATGAAGAATAAAACGCCGCGTACTTACAAGTTTTCATTTGTGTAACTCTCAAGTCCTTTTTCACCGCCTGAGCCAATTATTAGAGAAATAACTATTGGTAAGATAGGGAAACCTATAGGATAAGAAATGGAAGCAGCTCAATAGCTCAGTAACACATAGGCCTACAAGAGTTTAAAATAAAAGAAATCAGCTCAACAGGATCAGGGAGTACTACAAAAACAATAACAAATCAATAACAACAAAAAAATAACAACAACAAAAATAATTACAACAACAATAACAACAACAACAAAAGAAAAAACAACAACAATAGATAAGATACGGTCAACCAGAATACAAGAAGGTCCGTTCCTATCATGCGTTGCAGTGGTTGTACTGGCCTCAGTATTCTCTTTCACATGAAACATGCATCGCTTTCTTGAGCTATACCAAGGAATATTCCTCTTTTCACTTGTGGCTAATAGCGACTCGTGCGATGTTTTGTGGTATACAAGTAGATATCATCGTCATTATTTTCATCACCGTAGCAATGATATTGTTACATTTCTTACCCCAGCCAAAGAAATAGAGGTATCGCATGTCCACTGTGTTGAATACCTCAACAATCATTACGTACAGGAAAACTCCCTCCAGAAGCATCCACCCAAACGCTGCCAGATAGAAGTAATGGAGTAAAACAGCCACTAAGATGCACACGGACTGAAATGTGAGACCCAGAAGTAGGCTGATAATTAGATGCTCCGAGTAAATATCAGGCCAAGAGATTAAGTACTTCATAGAGATCTTAGACCAAAATTGGTTCCGGACAAGGGAACTCGACTTCTAGAAATACGCAATAGTGTAGACTGAAGTAGCGAGAGCCAAATATCTAGCGAAAACATGTCTTGAAATTTCTAGTAGAAATTCTCTCTCAGTGTTGTACATATACCGCCGTACGGGATGCTCAGTTCATCCTGGAGAGAGATCACCTCGGGCAGTAGGTGTTCCTCGCTTACGAAGAACGAAGAAATATGTGATTTCAAACGTTTGTTAGCTCACCTTATTACTCGTAGCCTCGATTCCGGACAAAAATACTAGTTGAGCAAGAAACAGAGCTGTGCAAAGGTTTAGCCTGACTTGGATTCCTTCGGCTTTGATCTTCCTGTTTAAATGCATTGAATAAACGAAATGGGTATGACATTTTTCCTCGCAACCACCTAGTAGTCTAGAGCAAACGCTACTGGGGAGGAATGGACGAAAGGTGCCTATATACTTTGTAATTTATTATTGGGTTGTTCTCAGCTTGTATTCCATTACTACGAAATATGTTTAAAAGTTGATTTTAGTAGGTATTTCTGTGTCAAAATACCTCAACTTCAGCCGAAAAAAAACGAGAGATTTTTGGTGCAATGGTTCCTCAATTACTAATCTCGTCTTAAAACAAAATTTTTTAGAAACAAAACAAAACCAGACAACTAGTGCGTTCTGCAAAATAATATTTCTCGCACTTTGATGGTAATTTACGAATCTAGAGATTTATCTTGCTCTCATGTATAGGTAAGACATTTTTTCTTCTTTTTTTTGCTTTTGATTTTTGTTTTTTAGTAGCACTCACATAAATGTCACGTAGACGAAGATAACCATTACTTCCCCAACGAGGGACAAGGAGCAACCAACATAGGTGATGATGAGCAATGCCCGTCTGTGCTCTGGTGGAATGTTATCCTCCTGAGAATCACGAGAAAAGAAGGAAATAGGTGGAAATGAGATGAAAATTGGAAATTGGAAATTATGATTAACAAGTTTTGACTTCGTTAAACATGGAACTTTCTCCATGATTAGTCCGTCCATAAACGAATAAAGGGGGAGAATGTAATAAGCTTAGGAAATGCCAAAAAAAAAAATTCGAGACGCAATCACGAGAACGACAAATAACCTTAGGAGGATGTACATAAGCGACACACACGGTTTTTTTTTTCTTAGTTCCCGATAAAGCTAATTAAGACAATTATAACATCACACCTCAATGTCCTTGTATTGCATTAGAACTGCGAAATTCGTGAGGTGGTTACAACTGCAAACGGTCGATAGCATAGAAGAATCATTCAGTACCGTGCAACCATCAGTTGACCATGAACCGTTTGACGAGCTAAAAATCAGTTGATCATAAAATTTGAATAAAAAAAGAAAGAAAAAGGTAAAGAAAAAATTAAAGAACTTTCACGAGCACCTAATGTAAACAAGTATATAAATATATATATACAAAAAACAAAATGACCTACCTGAAATCCTCCATCCAGAAGACACATTTCCTTTCAACAGCTTTTGGATCAATGCTCGGCTACCGGCGAAAGAAATGTAATGACGTTATGATGTGAAATGGTCCACGAGATGAATTATACTAGTTTTTCCATCTAAGCCCAATTACAATCCTAATTCTCTAGCCTATAATTGCATCAAAAAACAATACAGTTTATTTTACCTCGTTGTGACTAAAATGAATGATGATTTTATTTTGAATAGTTTCATTCTGGGAAGGGTCAAGAACAACTCCCACGACATCGGAGATCAGTCTGTAGCTACAAAGACAACATAACAAAATTGTGTGATCATTAGAGAAGTTGAGTGTCAAATATCCAATCCGGGATTGTATATTTTTGCTTCA